TATATATATATATATATATATACATATACATAATATTAATAACTTTTAAATATTACATAAAACTGAAAACGTGAAGGATTAAATTCAATAAAAAAACTGATATCTATTATTGGAAACGTAATAAGAAAAGGTAATTAATTTTTTTTTGACAATTTTAATTTATACTTATTGAGAGGTCAACTTTGTGCCGGACTATAATTCAGAATTTGTATTTCTCTTTCTTTAAATGAGATTATTCTCAGGATTAGAGTGATACGTATTTGTTTTATCAAAACATACAACTGATGAATTTAAAAAAAAGTTCTCCTAAATATAAATCTACATTTATTTTTAATGATGCTTACGTAATTAAATATAAAACATCATGTGCACGTTACCCGTGAGCAGCAAAGGACAGCGGAGCTATTTCGTGTTTCGGTGAGCGACTAGTTCGCGATTTCCGCGATACAGTGGCGTGTGACTGTAAAGGCCGAACACGCGATTACGCTACTTATATATTTTTTTTCGAAAATCACCATTCTTCTATCCGCTACGGTAAAGAGATTAGTTTGGACGGGGGAGATATTGATTCACTCTTACATAAAATTTTATATATATTATTCCTGTCTATCATTAATGTATTATTCTTTCGGATTCAAGGTCGCGCTTATGCAAGCAGCAAATCGCTCGATCAATTCTCAACTAGAGTCGATATCATCGTTGATGCGCGTGCTATATATTTTATCGTGTAATACCTCAATCATCTAGCCACGCGACAGGGTCAAGTATGATACTATTGCTATATCTTTGTACATATATTTGAACTTTGATCTCTTGTCCGAGTTTATTGGCTTTTCCAATTTTTTAATTATTGCGGACCAATCGAGTATTCTTCACATAAAGATCCACGCAGTTGTCATTCAACTTATATCCTGATACAGAATTTTTACATTGCTGTAACTTTATTCGATTCTGTCTGTGAGTTTAATCACAGAATTTCAACTGCACAGTCAAAAATGTAACGATAAAATTATATCTTTGCATGTTCTTTAAGAGAATATGTACTTATAATATTAACGAGTATCAATCTATATTGGCGTTATAATTACAAGATATTTAATGCAGCAAATTAGATCCCATACAAAATTTTATAATTATAAAATTACAATTTATGGAACTTCTGTGCCAGTGCTCTTGTTCATTTCGCTCATATTTTGGATGTGATAAGTAGCG